CTGCTGAATGATGTACCTCGGGCAGGTAAGTGATCTGGGTCCCACAGGCCTCGAGTCATCCATGAGCGTGTCCCTTGTGCTCTGTGCTGGCACTGGGCTCTCTGCTTGGCCCGTGGTGCCGGGGAGTAGCTAGCAGGCCGCAGGGAATGGCAGGCAGCCTATCACCTGGTTAAACCAGTCCAGGAAAAATGACCAGTTATTCAAAAACAGGTTCCATAATTAAACAAATAGACTAAAGATTAACGCCAGTCTCACATACCACTCTGCTGTGGGCTCAGACTGGGAGTTAGCGAGGCCAGGTGGCAGAGGTGTGCACAGCCTTCCCTCTGGGCCTTGTCTTGGGAAAGCCACTCTTCTCTGCAGCTCCCCCTCGGCAGCAAGAGCCGTCTCGAGGGACTGCCTGAGGCTTGTTGCTGGTCCTCTGTGCTCCAGCCGTCCCTCGGAGAATCACGGGGTGGGAAGGCAGCCTCCGGGTTCATGTGGTCCAACCCTCAGTTCTTTCCAATTCAGCCCTGAGAAGGCGTTCCTCCCTGCATCACTGACCTCGCTCTCCCCGTCTTTGGGGAAGGAATGCGGTCAGCAGCCCGGGAACGTTTCCGGCACCCCCACACTGCTGGGGTGACCTCCTCTGGGCCTGTGCAGGGCAGACGGTTTGGGAGGGTGGTTTCCTTGCAGCAGGAGGCGGCACTTAGGAGCAAGGGCATGGAGCCTCGTGGGTCTTTACCAGATGTCTCAGTCATGTGGTGTTTTCTTTCCTGTTATCTTTTGCTTTGCGTTGTAAGGCGCTTTATTTGCCTTTGGTATTCTGGCATGAAACTGTTTCTATTTGTGCCTTCTCTGTTCACTGCATGCATCTCTTCCCTTTATGTAGCCCTGACTGTTATAAATAAAAGTGGTTTATTTATAGCCAGCAAGTTCGTTTAGCTTAGAGGTTCCTCCTGGCCAGCAAGGTCTGTCTGCACCGGGTTAACTCTACATACGCTAGTACGGGGTGAGGGAGGAGGATACAAGCAGCTGGTGGGTGCAGACAGATTGTCCCTGGTGACAGCAAATGACGTTGGTATTTGCAGGGTCCAAACCCACCGTTATGCAGATTTCTGAACGGGGGGGATGGGGAAGGTGATAAAAACAACAGCAACAAATCTAATCCAGAAATAGCATCCTGATATAAACCTTCGAACCCTGGCTTGCAGCAGACTAGCCTAATTCTGGTCTCTGCTGTCTTCCCTTCGAGTGCCATCTATCGGGTTAGTGCGTGCTATTTCTGGAGCTAGAGGCAGTTAAAAATACCAGCGGTGTAGCATAGTAAATGGTTGGGATCGCTGGCAAGGTTTCCCAATGGGGTGTGTGCAAAAAGGTTAGGACTGTTTAATTTACAGAAGGGACATGATTTAAGTACCCAGAATACATGCCAACATGGAGGGGAGCACTCAGGTGCTTCTCTTCCTCTTTTCTCTTTAGATAAGAAGGTGACATCCATTAAAAGGAGCAGATTTAAAACACGATAAAAAGGAAGGCATGTGTAGTTAACGTATGAAACACTTCACCCCGTGATGATACCAGGCTAGCAAAGAGTCAGTCAAGTAAGAATTAGACCTTTGCATGGGGAAAAAGATCTCCAGATTCATTTGACCGCCTTGAAAATAAACCGGGAGCAGGTTATTCTGCAATTGCTCTGAATGGTTTCTTGGACTTTCATCTGAAACATCTGAGGTTAGCCACCTTTAGACCAGATACAAAATGAGTTAAATTACTAACCTGATCTGCTGTGACAATGCCCGAGCACTTTCTAGTGTAATCCCCGCCCTGTTCTTGCTAGGGGGAGTCCTTGTGCGGAGATCAGAAAGAAGTGAAGTCCTGTCCGCGTGAGCTTACACACCCCGAGAACCTGAGCGCACTTGAAGATATTAAGAGTTTCTTTCCTTTCAAGTAACTGCCTTTGGCAGGTGCCTCGGCCACTGCTGTTCCAGCGAGAGGATGGGGTCTGAATCGCCGCCCCCGTCTGCTTTGATAACACCCCCTTCCCTTTGTTCCTGCAGGAGCCTGTGGAAGCATTTCCGTGCGGTCAGCCTGTGCTTGTTCCTGCTGGTGTTCCCAGCGTACATGGCCTACATGATCTGCCAGTTTTTCCACATGGATTTCTGGCTGCTGATCATTATCTCCAGCAGCATCCTCACCTCGCTCCAGGTAAGGGGCAGTGCTCTCCTGACAGCCCTCGTATTTTCTCTCTAGAGCGGTGCAGGGTGGATTCAGTTTAAATTACTTGGCAGGAAGCCTGGATTTGATCATTGTTTTCTACAAAAAAGTGCATTCTGGTTGTTTGATGTCCTTTATTCATTTAACTTCTTGACACTTTGCACTTTGAGAGAGAGGTGAGGGCATGACTGTATGTACGCAGACTTGCAGAGAGACAGGAGGGCTGCTGGGTGGGTAATCAGGGCTGTTCTCTCATCTTCACGTACTGCTGTGAACAAGGATGTTATCTCTGGAGACAACAGACTCTCCCTATGCCTGAAGAGGGGTGTTTGTACCTGAAAGCTTGCAAAGAACAACTTTTCCAACTACTTAGTTGGTCTAATAAAAGAGGCCACATCTACCCAAAGAACCTCATCTGCCTATGATTTCTGGGGACACAAATCCACAGTTTGAGAACTGAAACTCAGCATCCCAGAGATGCTTCATGGGATCTTCTAGACTGAGCACTGAGTGCCATTGGGTAGAGTGGTTTTCTTTAATATGTACTAATTTATAGAGGAAGCTCTGGGAATCCCCTGAGATTGGGCCCCTAATATAGTTCATGGTCTGTTGTGACCTATCTATTAAACTTCTAAAAAGGTTACATGAATATATTGTCTCAAATACTATATCATTAGAATATATTGTCTCAAATAATATATAATTAGAAGTTATAATCCCTATTCCAGGATGATATCTTTGAGCTTTAACATAACTTAAATTAAAACTAACTTTATATGTTGTTTTTTTTAAAAGCATCTTAAAAAATAAAAAATTACGATTTAAATAAAAATAATCTGATTTAAATAAAAATATCTGATTTTTTTTTTTTTTTATAATTTAAAAAAATGTTGATTTTTTTACCCACCCTGGAGCATCAGTTTGAAACCTTTTCAGACTCAAGGCCACCCTCTGCCACTTTTTTGAATGAGGTGGCATCCCCAGTTGAGAGTCACTGCTGGTGCCACGTCAGCTCGCCTCACTGCTCCTCAGCTGGGTGCTGCCGCCCAGCCGGTCCGGGAAAAACTGTGCCACGTGTGCACGGCGCCGCTGCATTAGGGCTGTCTGATAACCCCAAATCAGATCGCGTTGCTTGGGCCGTAGCCCCTCCTGGTCTGCCCCCAGACTGGAAACAGAGCCATGCAGGTGAAACCGGGGGGAGGAGAAGTTGGAGAGGCAGGGGAGCCGGACTGGGAAGGGCTATAGCCCGAGTCAGCTCTGTGTGCTTTGGGTTTATCGGAGAGCCCTGGAGCAGCAGGAGTGTACCTGCGTAATTGTATCTGGCCACTTGCATTATGGGGCCCCAGGTGAGAACCAGTGCCCTAGAGGACTGGGGGGTGATGAACCAAAATTGGGTGGGGGGCAAGAAGGCAGAAGCTGGGAGATGGGATATAAAATGTTTCATTTATCTCCAGTGGTGGCTAAAGGAATCCTGGTTACTTTTGCTCCCAGCCTGGGGTAGAAATTGCTGTTTTCAGCAGAAGTGCAGTCACACTTCAAGGACACGCAAATGGGTCCAGTAATAAGTGTCCGTTTTATAACACTCTTTTATAGGAGGCTTTGAAACTGGGGTGCTCTGAAAATATTTGGGCGGCCAAAACATGATATGAAATAAAGACGCAAACACAGACCCTGCGCTGGAAGTTATTCAGCTTAATGCTGTCGTTTTTCTTCAGTTATTATAGACTAACCCAGGGCAGCTGATGCTTGTTTTCTGGCTGGTAGTCAGACCTTAGTACTGGGCCCCAAGCTGATGCGTTTTGCTGAGTAGGACTGGATTTAAAAGCTTCTGCTTAGCTTTTTAAGCACACGCTTTGCTGATTTGGGTTTGGGGAGGGAGCGGAGCCTTGCACGTGCAAAACTTGCCGAGGCGGTGTTGGACTGGAAGGCCAAGACCAAGCTGTCGTTCTGTCTGCTTCTAGGTCCTTGGGACGCTTTTCATTTACGTCTTGTTTATGGTGGAGGAGTTCAGAAAAGAGCCAGTCGAAAACATGGATGATGTGATTTACTATGTAAACGGTACGTACCGGCTGCTGGAATTCCTCGTGGCGCTGTGCGTCGTGGCCTACGGCGTCTCGGAGACCATCTTCGGGGAGTGGACTGTGATGGGCTCCATGATCATCTTCATCCACTCCTATTACAACGTGTGGCTGCGTGCCCAGCTGGGGTGGAAGAGTTTCCTTCTCCGCAGGGATGCTGTGAATAAGATTAAATCGCTGCCCACTGCTACGAAAGAGCAGCTGGAGCAACACAACGATATCTGTGCCATCTGCTACCAGGTACGCACTTCAGTTCGAGGGGGAGGACTCTTGCCGTACCTGTGGGCTATGTGGAGGCCACATCTCGAGTGGCGAAACAAACTTGGGTTGTTTCTTGCCTCCAGTCCCTAGAGAAGTCCACTATGTCTGACTTGGCTTAGTTCAGAATTTAGGGTGGTCACTTCTGTGACGGTCCAGAACAGATGGACATGGCTGGATTTTTAAGTAGAAATGAAAGTGTTTTTTTTTAAACTTTAAACATGCTTGGGTGTTGGCTAAAAGCAAGCCTTGCAAAATCTCTGAATTTCTGAGAAGCTTCCGCTGAATTTGGGTCAAGCTGTTCTTGATAGGACTGGCAAGCTCTGCCTGCTGTCACCAGGTTTCTCTTCCACATCCTGGAAGACTGGGTTTGCCCCGCTAGCTGAAGGTGCCATGTTCGTTCACATAAACAATTCAGTGTGTGATGTTTCCATTTCCATTTTGCTTAGAAGACCTACTGGTTCTAATAGAAAATGAAACCTCATGCCTGTGAAGCAGGAAGTCTAATAGACACCAGCGGAAGGAAGGAAATAAAAAATGAACGCAGAGAATAATGTTTTTTGCTGTGTCTCAAGTGCTGAAAAATTGGGTGCTTCCCTGTGGAAAGTAGTGTTGGCTCTGAATGGAAGTGAAAGAGGAACTGTAGGATGAATGACAGGGTTTATTGCAGGTGGATTCTCTCTGAAGTTGAGAGAAGCTTCCCTCCCCACCCCCAAAAAATCCCAGCTGATGGCTTCACCTCATTAAAATGCTTTGTTGAAAACAAAGTGGCTTAGATGGCATGAGAGCGAAAGCCTGAGGTCCAACCTCTGGTGTACCTTGTTGCCAGTCCCACGCTAAGTAGACTGACATTTTTGTCACATCACGGGGTTCAGAAACACGCAGCTGGGGACTTAGACCCTTGAGGTTTTTCTCTTCTTAGTCCCTTGTAAGAAACGCCCTACAACTGCCTCCAGGAGCACCTGGCCACAGTCCTTTTGTCCGAGTTTCTCGTCCATGCGGTGTTGACTTCCATGGCACTGAAGTGGTTTTATCATTGTAGCCTCATGTTAGCGCTTGCTCTGTTCAGCTGTGGCAAGGCAGGGACCCAAGCCAATGTTTCACCCCCTCTCGGGAAACTCTTAGGTCTGGGGTGAAGGGAGTTATGCGCGAGGTAGCCGAGGTGGATGGGAATGTGCCCACCTGTCCCGTGACGCCATCGTTCTCTGTCTTTCAGGATATGAAATCTGCTGTAATCACACCGTGTAGCCATTTCTTCCACGCGGGCTGTCTTAAGAAATGGCTGTACGTGCAAGAGACCTGCCCTTTGTGCCACTGCCAACTTAAAAGCCCCTCGCAGCTCCCGGGACAGGGACCGGAGCCAGTTCAACAGCCAGACCCTGCAGTGGAGCAGAACAGGAGTCATCGCGAAGCGAACGAGCCCCAGGGTGTCGCACACAGCGAGGGGCCAGATATGCAAGACAGCCTTAGTGCCAGTGATGGACAAGGGGTGGAGGAGCCAGCTTGCCAAGAGGACTCTGTGGACCCTGTAGAGGATGCTCAGAGTCGAGATTGTGGCCTGTGGCCTGCGGAGGCCAGGCAGGGGATGCCTATTGCAAAAGAAATTGCGCTGGAGGATCAAGAGGAGTCTCCCACCCCAGACCCACGGGCTTGTGTCCAGATTTGAAGCGACAGTGGATGATGCTGGAGCAGACGCGTTTCGGAGACCCAAGCCTGACTCAACAGAGAACTTGTCCTTCCGCTGTCGTGATACAGTTTAGCAATTATTGCTGGTCAAGATTGTACTTCGAATATCCTATGCTGATTACCGGTGGGCTGCTTGGTAGGGGGGGATGCCAAGGGAACTCAACTAAAAGGACTCCAGAAGCTGCCTCTGGATTGTGAGGGGAGGAAGAGCCTGGAAGACGAGCAGGAGGGGGTGTGGGAGGCGGCAGAGCGTCCAAGGAAGTGTTAGGGTTCGTTGGGGAGGGGAGCCATGTCCCAGGGTGCCGGGGGGGGGTGTTACCACACATTGGCCTGCTTTTCTGCATTGACCAGAGTGCAGCCACAATCACTGATGTTTTGTAGAGCCCTGAAGCAAGAGGCAAAAGCCTCAGAGCATCGATTGTCCAGGAAGACAGAAGCACTCCTCCTACGTCATGTACCTGCTTCGGGCATTTCTGGTGGGGCAGTTGCATTTGCATTCACGTAATCTATAGCGACTCTCGACTTTTATGACAGAGTCCCCGATATTTTGATGTACATGAAACTTTTGTTAATAGATGAGGACGCACCGTCTGGGCCGTGTGAAGTAAACTAAAGCTCGCGTGAGCACTTCGACCTCCGCCAGAGGGAAGTGGGAAGAGCTTTAGGGCACGGATAGAGGCCGCACAGTGCTGTCCAAACCTGTGTAATGTTCACTTCCCGCAGCTGAATTGAAAGCAGTATTAAGCTCTGGCAATATTTGCACTTTTGGGAATGAGTACATTAATGTGTATGATCAAACTCCGCAAATGCCACTTTGACAGCTGTTAATTAGGGTATGCACCTTTTTTTCTTCTACAAAGATGTGTCCATACTTCAATTTTTACATTCATCATGGCTTCAGGTAGAAGTGGGGAGCGGGGAGGGGTGGGGAGGTCGGGAGTAGGGGGAAGGCAGTTTTTTTATGTGAATTTTGATATGAAATGAACCTAGTCACTTATTTATACGATAGGCTTGACTCAAGTGTTTTTCAAAGCTGGTATTCCTAATGTGAGACGTGATACGGTTTTATTTTTAGCAGTACATTTGGATGTAGACTGACAGACATAGCTGAATGTCTCAATAAATTACCTTTGACGATTTTTATATTTGGTTTTGTGCTTCTTATGCAGATGCTCCTCTGGATTTCACGTGGGTCTGGACTGGCTGCTGTTCCTTTCCAGGCCCAATGGACCTCTTAATTTTTCTTTCCTAGGCTCCTGCTCCAATGGCTGTACCTGTGTTAGGGAGCTAAGGACAGTTCAGGTCCTTCAAGACTTGGTCACCAGTGCCCGGACCGCAGAGCGAGTACAGAACAGTATGTTGTACGCTTACCCCAGGGCCAAGTACGTACCTTTGTGGGGCTACCAAGGCAAAAGCCCAGGTCTGGGGGTGCCTCCTCCTTGACCAGTGAAAACAATGATTGCGGGAAACTGCTAGTCTCTTCCCGCTTGGATTTGCTTGCATGCCGTCTTAGTATGTGGCGGTGAGGTTTGCCATGAATTTCCCTTATCATTGTGGTTCTTACTGGATTATTAATATTGCTGGTTGGGAACAAGCAGCAAAAAATAGGGAAAAACTTTCATTACTTTCACCCCGTCCCCCATCCCCATTGCTATCGATGGGTGAGTGGGCTCATGATAAAATGTAGTCATGGCTTCCCCAATAGCCTGACCTCTTCAGGGACACAGTACTGAACTGTGACCCTCCAAGCTTCCCTTTGATGCACATACTTAGATTGATACTCTCCTCCCACCACCCCCCATGTTTAACAGGTCATTGCAGAGGGGGTGTTGTGCAGAGGGAACAGAGTATGTGGATAGACCCTGTACGGATTCCTGTTTGCGTAGCAGTACTGGTCAGGATTGCAAAGCAAGCCCTTCCCTTTTTAAGCGCATCCTGCCTTTAGCAAAGAAGTTGTTGTGAGATCCAGGGCCCATGTCCCGTGCAGGAAAGTATCCTGCAAAAACGTCCTGAAGGGAGGAGAGCTCAGCGAGGGAGCATCCCCATGCGGGGTGTTTGTGAGCAAACCTGAGACTCATGGCACAAATGCTTGGCTCCATCTTAATTGTTTTTTAATGCTTTGCAGTCCGTGGAGAAAAGGCATCCATCCCTGTGCAGAACAAACCTGATCTTAACTGAAACGCTCCCACTTTGGGGGGCATGGTTGGGCAGGAATACACGCAGGACACGCTTTTAAATGCAAAAGCAAAGATGGGTAAAAGCAAGTGAGACTTGAAAATTTCCTTACCCTGAGCTCCCTCTGCTGGCCTCCCCATCGCTTCGGCAGCAGTCCAAGGATACAGCTATTCAGATGTATTTTCTCAATGGTGATGATTTTATGTTTGCAGGAGCTGCAGGAAGCCCTGTCTGCAGTAGAGGCAGATGCATAGGAGGAGATGCAACTGGAAAGGATGAGCAATGTGTCCTGCAAACTCCAGTTGTCCAGTGGCTGGGACACCTCCCTGGGATGTGGGGACTGAGGTTCATGCCCTTGATCCAAACTGAACAGGCAGGAACTAGTACCTGGGTCTCTCCCACCCCAGGCGAGTGCCTTAAACATTGGATAACAGGCTGATGTGGGCTGCTAGAGCCTTCTGTCTCCTGTCTTTTCATCAAAATTAAGAAAAAGAAAAGGTCTCGGTTTCATCAGGACTCAAGAAATTCTTTGAAATTCCTAAAGTTTCTGTGGGGTGGGAAAACTGCTTCCTGGCCAGCCCCAGTCCAGCTTTTCCAGGGACAGACCGTTTGCAAGTTTATCAAAGAGTTTGTCCTTCTTCTGGTTGAACAGAAGTTGGAAGTGGAAGGAGCTCGACTTGAATTTAGTCCAAAAATTTAGATTGGAGGAAAAACAAACCGAAAACCCAAGCAGTGTCTATGAACACTCCTTCCTCTGTTTCTTTTTCTTGAGGCAGTGGAATAGAGCGTGTTTTAAGCACTGCCCTTGCAAGTGTTGCCAGACCAAAGGTTTCCATCTGATGAGTGAGACTGAACTAAATCAGCGCGCACCTGACGTTGCTGGCTTCTGCTCAAGCCCAGAAAGTAAGCAGCATCAATAGTGAGCGGTGGGATGGGTTTTAAAATGGCATTCCTGTGTCGCTCCCCTGGTGCTGCACAATACAGGTACCGTTTGTTTCCACCCGATTGTGGAAGCTTTCCAGCTGCTGTGGTCCGTGGTCTCCAAAGCACTTGCAAAGGTTTGTGGTGAGGTGGCTAGTTGGTTTAGCGCTCACGCCCCCCAAGCTTTAAAGTGCACGACGAGGTGGTTCACAACCGTTCTTCTCTAATGTCTCTCCTCCGTGTGCCTGCCGGCTGCAGTTGTTTGTCGCAAGGGCTGTTGTGAACTCACCCGTGGAAGAGAGTGGTTGCGTACATCGCAGCAGCTGAGGAGGAGATGGTGGGCCTGAAAGTCCATTCCTTAAGGACTTCTAGTTTTCCAGTACTGTCCTGTGGAAAACAGGCAGGGCCTTTTCGGTTATTTCAAGTTGCACATCCAAAAAATGATGGCTGCCCCGTCCAGGTGTCGCTTGATCAAGAAGGGATGCTGCACAAGTGTCTGCGGGCCCGTCTGCAGTGCAGCCCCACAGAGCTCTGCCTAGAGGTCTCGCCTGTGTGCTGCATGCGAGGTAGGAAACACACGATGACCTCCTGAGACCCCTTCCAACCCACATTTTCTATGATTTTGTTTGCCTGATGTGTGCAACCTGTGCAAGAGGCTCCTCAGGGAAGATTCACGATCCCACCCGGCTCCAGTAACCTCTCGCCTCTCGCTTGATTTTGCTTGGAGGAGAGGAATGACTTGTTGAGAAGTTGCTGGCTAAGGTGATTTCAGACCCAGCTTTGCCCCTAGCATGGTGATGCTGGCACCCTCATAAAAGCCAGCTGGTTGTGACCAATCCTACTGCCCCCTGTGTACAAAACCATGGTTCTTATGAAGTTCTTATGAGCTCCTGCCATGCTTCCTTGCATTCAGCGTGCCCTGGGGTGAGAGATGCGCCTTGTTTCCAAAAAGCAGAATGGAGAGAAAAGATCCTTCCTTGTAACAGCAGCAGCGGGAGGAGCTGGGCCTGCTCATTGGCGTGCATGCAGATTTTACTTTCCCTTTTGCTCCTTAAGTTGCAGAGACTGCTTTTACCATATGTCTTCTATGTAATGTGCACAAGGGCGCGTGCTATATGCAAGAAAGTATGCTATTTCAGAAAAAGCATGGCCTCATGCTTGTCTTTGCAAGACCGTAAGGGCTGATCCATGAGCCCCAAACTGTACTCCTAAAGATCGTCTCTGTTCTTGTTTGGGGTTTAGTGTCCTCGTATGCAGGCAAATATCCAGTGAGGACTCGGACACTGCATGACCAGGGCATATTTCAAGCATCTGCTGTTAAGAAGCAGTTGTGACTCAGTTGCAAACTGCTCAACAAACTTTGTTGTGTGGCTTAACCTCTTCTGAACGTAACCCTTTTAGAGCAGCAAGCAGCCTGCAATCAAGTAAAGCTCTCTCTTCACTGGGAAGGGTTGCCTTGCATTCAGCAGCCTGTAGAAGGACACGATCGACACGGGTGTGAAAGAGCTGTTGAACCAAACTTGGCACACAGCAGCAGGGGGAGAAAGGAGCAAACCCTAATGTACGTGCAACCAATTTAAGGAAAAAAAAGCAGCATCCTCTAGTCTAAAATGTTACAAGTAGCTAGAGCAATGTGTTTTTTTGCCAACGGTTGTTTCCAAGAGGCAGTGACACATCCTCAATATTAGCAGTACGTGTTGCAAAGAGCTTGAGATGCAGACGGCCAAAGAGCAGACGATCCAAAGAATTCGCGGGAACAGATGTGAAAGGCTTGAGGTAGGGAAGTCGCTCACGTGGTTCCTTTACAGGAATTTAAAATTTTTTCTGTAGGATAAGTTCACTGATTGTACAGGACGGGGGGAGAGCTGCATGGGATGCAGCTTTATTTCGAACTTAAACTCTCTGTTTATGATGACAGCTATCGTTTTTAGTTTTCTTTAAATAGCCTGTTCACTATGAGCTTGGAAAAAAACACCCCAACTCCCGGCTGGAATGCAGAAGGATTAAGTTTTATTTATTTTTCTTGCTAAAAGCTGCATTGCGCAATTTAAAAGGAAATGTCCTTGAAAGATGGGTTCCTTCGTAAACGGTTTCGACCCTTGTTTGTTTTTACAT